TAGGTCCACATATTCAAAGCTATGGTTTTTCCAGTAATGATGTACGGAAGTGAGAGCTGGACTATAAAGAAAGCTGACCGCCAAAGAATTGATGCTTTTGAATTGTAGTGCTGGAGGAGACCGTTGAGAGTCCCCTGGACTGCAAGGAAAACAAACCTTTCAATCCTGAAGGAAATCAACCCTGAGTGTTCACTTGAAGGACAGATCCTGAAGCTGAGGCTCCAGTCCTTTGGCCATCTCGTGAGAAGAGAAGAATCCTTGGAAAAGACCCTGATGTTGGGAAAGTGTGAAGGCAAGAGGAGAAGAGGCAGATGGAGGATGAGATGGTTGGACATTGTCACCGAAGCGAACAACATGAATTTGACCCAACTCCAGGAGACAGTGGAAGACAGGAGGGCCTGGCATGCTCTGGTCCACCGGGTCACGAAGAGTCAGACACGACTTAACGGTAAACAACAACAACACCATTGCACAAGAGACTATGTGAATGGGCTTGCAAATGGTTGTGCAACCAGTTACATGGCTGGTTGTACAATTATTTGTGCAACAAAAATAATATCTGGTACCCCTCTCATGCTGATTCTGATAATGTATAACTACTAGTATCTCTGGTCTTGAGCAGACACAGATTCATGCCTATGTTTTCAAATACGTACATTCTTTGGATCGTCTGACCACTAATCTGTTTCCCATTTGAATCTCTGTATCTCCCTCCCTTTTCAGGAGAACAATTCGAAATACTGTTCCTTGCCTGAGGTTTCTTATACGGATATCAAAAAGTGATCTTTCAACAAGTTCTATAAATGACTCGTCGTTCAGGGCCTCTGTGTCCAGCCGTCATTCTTTCGTTTCCAGGAACAAAAGCAGTTGCATTTCCTCTATTTCTGGTGCAGAAGCAGTAAGTTTTGGGATTTGTGTTGGTAAGAAAGGGCATCCTTCTTCAAGGTCACACCAGAGGATCACAGCTTTTTTACTTGACAAACACCCTAAAGGCAGACCAACTAAAGTCAGTCGTGTCTTTGTCACTGCTAACCTGTGTCAGTGAATGGATTTTAAATTTAAATTGTAGCTACAATAGCTTGTGTGGTTCAGCATTCTCATGTCAGTCATGATGGCCTTACGATAAAACAGCAGAAATCTCACTTTCTTTTTGCCATTCTTCTTAACCTTTTGAATTGTGTGGTAGTTTAGATGCAGATATCCTGACTGTGTCCTTAACACACAAAACTCTACATATTTACTCTCATGAGTAAGTCACAGAAAGTTCAGTGGAATCTGGTCCTGAGTAAGATGTGAGAGGTGTTGCATAAGGGAATTTCAACAAGTGAAATGCAGTGCAGATAAAGCAGATCAATATGTTTATCTTGTAATCTCCTTGAGCTCAATTAAAGCTGTTACATTGACAAAACCCCTTTTATGGCTTGTCATTATGTAGCATTACCATTACTAGCATAATAACCAGAGACCTAGGGTAGCTTCTTATAATAATATTTTCCAAAAATACCTGCAGTTACACAGCTGCAATATATTTTACCTCCTCAAAGCATTACTGATATTCAAGGTGTCGGTAAGCTGTTTCTTTGAACCTAAGCATTGTTGTTGTTTCTAGTTTTTGATGTTCATAAGTGCTTACACTGGTGATGTACTGGGGCTCTCCCGATGAGTACCTTCAATGCGGTTTAAGCAGTATTGACCAGAATCCTGTTAGTTCTCGCATAGGGTTTGCATAACCTGCTGGTTGCATCTCAGTAGCATTCCTGATCACACAACCAAGATGCACCTCAGCACTTCATGAAACAGCCACAATTAGCTTTGATGTGGTACACAAACTTTATGTGGAAATTGAAGATTTTTTAGGTAAGGGGAGTGAATCAACTAACACTAGCTAGCTGTCTTGAGGGACCTGCTATATTGTACGCAGTCAGCAGTGTGTAAAAACTGGTATATGGATTCACAAATTGAGCAAGTTCTATTCACTGTCCGCCTTAACTCTTTTCATTGTAGACATAGGCACAATTTCTTTGGAAATCTTTGATTTAGAAAAAAGGCAAGTAAAAGGTTTATCAGCAGACATGCATGTGTTCAGGTAGGCTTTTGAGCAATAAGTGGGCGTCTAGGGAACTCTCTATGAAATGAAGATTTTTTAATGTTTTGGAAATTATTTTTGATTTTTATTTAGAGAGAGAGAAAGAGAGAATGCTCTATAAAAATGGATAAGGAAAGTTTTTTTTTCTCCCTGATGTAATACCAGAATCTGGGTGCATCTAGTGAACTTGAGAGCTGACGGGTGTGGGACAATCCAAAGGTCCTTAAGCTATGTTAATTATTCACATAGTGCATAATTAAACTGTCAATTTTGCTACCACAAGGTATAGTGATAGCTTTTAATTTGGATTGCTTTAAAGGAGGAGATAAATTAGTGGAAACTACATCCATCAGTGGCCATTATTCACAACAGTTGCATGCAGTGGTGTCTCACAAGACGAGCGCTTTGTTTTACGACGTTACATCCATCAGTGGTTATTATTCATAACAGTTGCATACAGTGGTGTCTCGCAAGACGAACGCTTTGTTTTACGACAAAGTTTTTGCGATCGCAAAACAATGTTTCCTATGGTGTTTTTTCGCTTTGTGATGATTGGTTCCCTGCTTCGCTAACCGATTATCACAAAACGACAATTTTCGCACAGCTGATCAGCGGTTTCAAAATGGCCACCGGCTAAAAAAAATTGGTTGCCCGCTGTTTTCTGGGACAGATTCCTCGCTGCACGGGCAGCGAAAATGGCAGTGCTATGGAGGATCTTCACTGGACTGTGAGTTTCAAGCCCATAGGAACGCATTAATCGGGTTTTAATGCGTTTCTATGGGCTTTTAAAAATCGCTTTACGATGTTTTTGTTCTACAGCGATTTCGCTGGAACGAATTAACATCGTAATGTGAGGCACCACTGTATTCCTTTCTGTATTTAAGTAGCATCCTCCTGAACATCAGCTGCTGGAGAACACAAGTGGGAGAATCCTGTTGCTCCCATGCCTTTCTTGTTAGCTTCTCTGTTAATCTGAAGCAATTGGACTCTTCTTATATTATATCCAGTATTGATTTTCCTCTTTTCTACAAGCCAAAAAAAGTCATGCACTTTGGCCCAATTTTTTGGCTGGCTTTCCCCCACTTCACTTCATGTGTCTGCCACATTTATCTGATTAAACATTTATTTGACACTTTTTTGAAAGCCAACATATTGCTGTTGCTGCTGCTTCATTTATAAATCTCCTTAGAGAAGGATGACTTGGTGGTTGCTGCAAAAATCAACTAGGCATTTCTCTGTACAGTTGGTTTCTATGGAAAATAGTCTTCACTGGTAAAATATTGCACTGAAAGTTTAAATAAGAATGCCAGTGTTTGAAAATAGCTATTATTAAAACCAGCGAAGTGCATGAAAGAACTATCCAAAAAGGTGCTTTAAGAAGTGTGAACACTTATGATAGTTCTTAAATAATGAATGATTTTTAAAATAAAAAAAAATCTTCTCCATTGCGAACTAGGTCAATAGTTCTGCACCATGATGTTTCCATGGTTCTGTGCATAGCCAAGAGCAGGATTAAAATGCAGATGGATGTCAATCAAGCCTCCTGAATTTTAGAATCGAAATACACCAAGGTGAAATGTTCGTGTATGTCTATGAATGTAATAGGAATATAAAAGGGAGTCATGAATATATTTTTCTGTCCCGAAGAAATATACTTTGTCATACGGTAAGTTAGGACAACTGCATTTGCCTAAAGGAGAATAAGTTCTTGGCAAGGGACGTGGTGGCGCTGTGGGCTCTCTTGGCAAGGGACGTGGTGGCGATGCGGGCTAAACCGCAGAAGCCTGTGCTGCAGGGTCAGAAGACCAGCAGCCATAAGATCGAATCCACACGATGGAGTGAGCTCCCGTTGCTTTGTCCTAGCTCTTCACCAACCTAGCAGTTTGAAAGCATGCAAATGCGAGTAGATAAATAGGTACCACCTCAGTGGGAAGGTAAAACGTGACAAAGGAAAACTGTCTTCAGACAGGCACGTTGCAATCCAGTGTTTGCTCCCAGTTTGCAGTAGTACCAATTCATAGAACAATCTCCTTTGATGCAAACAGTGGTAGATAAACGCACCCAACTAGCCCTATTGTTAGGCAGAGGAAAATAGTCACCATTAGCTGCATAAGCTTGATGGCATTATTACTCTTACCAGATATTCCTATCCTTCTGAGGTGGTTTATTTGTAGCTGCAATCCAGTGTTTGCTCCCAGTTTGCAGTAGTACCAATTCACAGAACAATCTCCTTTGATGCAAACAGTGGTAGATAAACGCACCCAACTAGCCCTATTGTTAGGCAGAGGAAAATAGTCACCATTAGCTGCATAAGCTTGATGGCATTATTACTCTTACCAGATATTCCTATCCTTCTGAGGTGGTTTATTTGTAGTGGTGTTTCTTGCTTGTTGCTGATCTGGGACAATTGCCTTGTTTTTCCCTAGTAGATCCGTGACCAAGAAAACAACCCACCATTCCAGCAGACTTTGTGCATTGGGTTGTGTTGCCTTGTATATGAGACACACTGGTGCTGCTACTGCATTCTACCATTTGTTTTAGCAGGAGAATGCAGGGGCCAAGATGTTGGAGACAGATGTGTGTGCCACACAGCTTGACTTAAACAGCATGAGCTAGCTTGCTGCTGAACTTACCCATTCCTGGTATTGAAGTAAGATTTAACTGCCAGACCAGATAGCTTTTATAACATAGAAGGAGCCTATGCCTCCAACAGAATGCCTTGGTCAGCCCTGTTGGGACATTTATTTGCAATGACCCATACATAAGGTTATCTTGAGAACTAGAGAGAGAGAGATGGATTGAAAAGTACTTTACACTTCTAAAATATGAGGCAGTAATGAACTGTGGGGGCCATAGCAGAGATGCTTAAATCAGAAAGAAGAGAAACAGAAAAAAATGGCCATGCACTTTAACTACTTCGTTGTTTTTCTATTATTTCACAGTCTTCTTTGTTTATGCCCAACTTTTTTTTCAGATAAAGGCTTTTGTAAATCAATAAGAATCAAATGACATTCTAAGGTGTGGTAAAGCATGTTTTCCAGCAGTTGCTATATAATGAGGTATGCCTGTTTTGATGCTGGAAATGATATAGCCATTGATGGCCCTAACCTCATGAATCCATCTAATCTTCTTTCAAAACCATTCATAGTGACATCCAGCACTATATCTTCTGACAGTGGATGTTTGCTGTTTAATTATGCACTGTGTAAGGACATACTCTTGGTTACTTGTCCTGTAAAAGAGTTTTTATAGTAAAAATGCAAACATTATTGCCGCTTGGTCATTTGCATCAACAAATGAGTTCATCACAATTCTATATATCCATCCCCATTTTCTTTATTTCCTAGGCTTGGAGTGATGTGGAGCTTGACCCTGTTGAGGTGGGCCAAAAGAGGCATCAAGGGTATCGAAGTAACTCTTTTTCAACCAAAGCAACAGAAGAAACGAGTGGATTACTCCTGAAGTCTCATAGCTGCCCTTCACCTATTAAAGAAAAGGTTAATACAGCAGCAATTTCTAACTCCCTTTTAAAGATGTTTCAGTGGCAGATCCTCTTTCGTGTTTACTTACAGTGATCAACCCTGCGTTACCCATCATGGGTCCATACCCTCTGTGTTGAAATTAGTTTTCAGTAATTGAAGTCCTTGTGACTTTGTCTTGTTCTGTCCTAAAGAAGAAGAGAATCTTCTTGTCTAAAAGGCAAACAAAGGCAAACCCTCCCCAATATAGGTAAAGTTGTAGTGGTCTTTTTTTCTCCATATTTTCCTCGCCATCATTTCTCCTCCTCATAGTCTTGGTAAGTTCCATTACCTCCAGCTCCTTCGGATCCCACTTTAAAAATCAATACAAAATGGTGGGATCTGTTCTTGTTTAAGAAATGTAATAAGATATCTTGTCTTTGAGGGGGAAGATGAAAAAGACATTCCTGTTTCTCACTGACAGTGGGAGACTCCAGCAACTTCCACCATCATGAAAATGGAGATGGTGAGTACGGAGTGTATCTTTTGCTGATGCAAAAGGGAACTGATGGCCAGCTGGCCACAGTTCAGGGTCCTTCTCGGCAGCCTTCCTGTCCATAATATGGAAACTTCATGTAATCACATGAAAGCTGGTGCATGAACGCACACATTATAAATTGTACTCAGACCACCTTGTCTCATAAAGAGTCTGCTCAGAGTTGGAGGTCTTCAGTAGTGTCCCTGTTGCATATCCCACTAATCCCAAGAAGGTAAATAGGTTAATACATGAGGCAGGGCCTTCTTTATAGCAGCAACAGGTATAGAGCTATCTTCCAAGGTTAGTCTGATTTTCCCCTTCCTTGCTTAGCTTCGGAATTTCATCTGTTTTAATTCCGGTTTTATGTAAAAGAAAAAAAGAGAGAGAGAGAGAGATTTTTATCAGGGCAGAAAGAAGGGATTAACAAATACTTCTAATAAATAAAATTTAAAATTAGCAAAACTAGTCTAGATGATCCTCCAGGATTACTTGGCAGCTTTTCCCCAATTCTAGCCATTGGCAAAAAGTGAAGACCTTGGAAGCTCCAGGAGCCCATAAGTCAGGGGCTAGCACCGGATATATTTACAATGAATTCCCCAATTTTATATCCTCTTTGAACATGTGCCAGACATTGTATTAGTTATGGGTGGCTGATTTAGACTGTACTTAGAAAAGTCTACTCTCAAACAACAGGAGGAAGTTTATATTTTGGTTTCTACTTAAAACTATGAATAGATATATTTTATAGCTGGGATGAGGATCAGACGCTTAGGGGCTTATAGTCCAAAACACTCCATAACTAGTCAAAATTATTTGTGCAGGTTTGAATATGTTTATTTATTTATTTAGTGTATTTACATATTGCCCAGTGTAGTGCAAGCCACTACTTTAGGTGGTTTACAGTAAAGAAGTAACCTTTTAACCTAGCGTAAAACCAACAATAGAATAAACCAGAATAATATAAAAAAACCCAAAATGATCGTGGAATCAGGGAATGCTAGTATAAACTAATGCAGGAGAGAATGTCTTTAAACATTCTTTGAAAAGTATAGTTTTCAATATCTTTTTAAAGTAGGGAGGGAGGGGGCCTGATGCACCTCCAACAGGAGCCCATTCCACAAGGATGGGGCAGTGACTGAGAAGGCATGATTTCTAGTGGACGTCTTCTTTGTCTTTCTCACTGTGGCGACCTGTAGGAGTAAGGCCTGCAGGATTGGGTGGTATGAATGATGTTCTAGGGGAAAGATTCTCTGACAAGTAACATGGCCCCAAACGCTTAAGATTTTTTTGTGTGCTGACTGTGAGCCCATGCATAGTTCAGTACATATTTTCTGTGGCAGCTTGAAATCCAAGGAAAGGGCTTCCAAACAGCCTCTAACTTAGTACAGTCAATCCTCGACTTACAGCCGGCTCTAGTTACAAACATTTTGACTTACAAACGGCTGTGATAGGAAAATATTGACTTGACTTGCAAACTTAGATTCGAGTTACAAACCGAAAAAACACGTGGGAGGTGGGGAAAGCGTGAAATTTAAACTTTCAGTTAACCGTTAGCCAGTGAAGGGGGTGCCTGTCTGCTTCCTTGCTCTTCTCAGCATTTTGAGAGTGGATTTGGAGACAGTCTTCAGACTGCCTGGTATTGCCTGGTATTGCCTAGTACAGTACTGTACAGACTGTATGTTTATTTTTCTTTCTTTTTTTAATTTTTGATTTTTGGATTTTTAAAAGGTGTTCCTTCCCTCCTTTACTGCCCCCTTTTCGCCCCAATAGGTCCTTGTATTGGCTTGTCTTGATTGAAAAGGTGCTTTTCAAGGTAATCTGTTGTCTGAAAGGTGCTTGGTTTTTCCCAGAAGGTGCCTGTCTTGGCTGAAAAGGTGCTTTTCAAGGTGTTCTGTGGAAAAGGTGTCTGTTCCCTCCTTCCCTCTCTTTTCTTTCCTTTTTTTAAACCTAAGTCATCTTAGGTTCTGCCCTTAGTGGTAGGAACGGATTAACCAGCTTTGCATTAGTTCCTATGGGAAATAATGATTCAAGTTACAAACCGCCTCTTGACCTAAGAACCAAAAACAGCTGGAATGAATTAATTGGTTTTCAGTGCATTCCTATGGGAAATGCTGATTCGATTTACAAACTTTCCGACTTACAAACTTCCTTCCGAAACAGATTAAGTTTGTAAGTTGAGGGTTGACTGTACAGATGTATGGCATAAATTTGGGATATGAAATGAAAGAACTTGTAGTTAAAACGAAATCTACCACTGCCACCTATATGAATAGTTTGACACTCAAGAAGGTTTCATGACTCTTCCTGAAGGGGAAAAAACTTGAGCCTGGAATGTTGAGTCCTTTTTCTTCTCCTTTCCCCATAGGTTGCTCTGTCCTCCATCAGTTTGGAGGAACCACGTCGGCAGTCTTTAGGACCGAAGCCTCCAGAACTACTCCTCTTAAGCAGTTCTTTGAGAACATGTTCTCTTCCATTCGGATTGAATAGTAGCAGCACAGGGGAGAGTACAGATACATCTCAAGTAGAAGTTCAAGAAAGCCAAATAAACGGAAGTCTAGACTCCTTCATAAACCCTACCCTTCCACAAATAGTTATTGTTCCTACCTCAGAGACCACTCTCTCTGAAGGGCAAGCGGACCTTGGAAATGGACAGGAAGAAAACGCTGATTTATTCTTCTCTCAAGGAAAGAATCATCTGTTGGACATAGGAAGGCTTAGCTCCTCCACTGAACTTCTGGAAGCAATTGAAACACTTCTGTCATAATTATAGAAGAGAACAATTCTCTGGTCTCCTGTACTGCTTCTTTGCATTATTATACCAAAAATAAACTCAAGAGCCTTGTAGATTTAAAAAGAGCATTTTTACTATATTTTTAATGCACTTGTTAGACCATTCCTGAATTTTATGCACTTTGCAGAAGAAAACTACAGTGATAGATGCTGAAGGCCCAAAGCATATGTAGCTTAGATAGCAAGCATTTGCCAGCCAAATCACCTTGCATTTCTTAGCAAATGCATTTGGGATAGATTTTCAATATTTTGATACCTTTTTGAGCACTGCCATAGCTGGAATACCCAGCAAGATTGCAGCCAGCCATGGCTACAGATTCTGAGGTTAAGTCACAAAAGAAGTCTAGGGTAAAGTTGCTAATATGTATCTCACAATGCACCATCTCCAGTAATTTCTCTATCCTGATTTCAACCCTCAGCTGAAAGATGATGGGTCCTTGCAAGCACGGCTGAGGATCACATGCTACAGTTGCTCAAAGACCTGGAACTTGTTGACTTTTCCTTCTGACTTGCCAAATGGTCTGTTGACCAATCATCCTGAAACTGTGATCAAAAGAATGAGAAATGAGAGTAACAAGTGGCCACTAGGAATGTCCTGCTGTCAGACAAGCATTCCAGTTCTTCTGAGATAATAAATTAATTTGGAAAAAGTTCCTGTATGCAATGAAAGTGACAAAAGCTATGCATAGGCAATATATAGTTTAGCACAACTTGTATGTCCAAATGTAAAAACATCAGCATTCATTAAATCACTGGTGATCAAAGACCTCTTCCTATCCCAGTGGTAGCAGCTCAATAAAAAAATAACAGGAAGCAAGACTATTGTGCAAAACTACTACAGTACTAGTACTTCTCCTAGTAGCATTCTAACAGTGGCAGAGAAAAAAAGTTAGATTGTGGTTAATTATGTGTGGCATTTAGTACTGAAATCACTGTTGAATTCTCACAGTTGACTTTACTCACTAATGACAATAATAAAAAAAACCACTCAGCTACTTTGTTATTGTCTCTTTGGGGTTGATTGCAAGTTTTTCATGTTTCCATTGGAGTATTTTAAACAATACTATCTATGTGTTTTGTTGTAAGGGAAGAAGCTGGGATGACAGTCTCCATATATGACATAGAACGTACCTGAGGAAGACACTCAAAATACAGAGACCTGTACTTAACTGTAGTTCTAAAACTTCTAAATTGGTAATGAGAATTAATTAAAATACATCATGGAACATATAGTTACTGTATATCATGGAACATGCATAGATTTAGAAGTCAGGTCTCCCAATAATTTGACAATTGTAGTGTGAATATTCATGGTGGTCCTGGCATACTCATCGGCATATATTTGAAAAGCATCTAACAGAGGCTGTACATCCATCACTTCTGTTGCTGTCATTTCCTGGGATTTCAATTCTTCCCCTGACACCCCCCTCAAAAAAAAAAAAAAAAAAAGGAAAAAGGAAACAAACTCTAGCCTTTCTCCCTTGCCATCTGAATGGCAAGTGCACCTTTCTGGATTGGTATAAGTGCAGCCATAATCATGCAGCCTCATGTGGGTAAATAACATACATGGTCATTGAATGCATTCTTCAAAAAATTGCCAAAAAGAAGAATCAGTCTGGCATTCAGGAGAAGGAGGTCAAGGACTGTTTAGGAGACCCACCTGCTGTAATATTAGTGCCAATGCTACACACCCAGATGTATTGAAAATTGGCACCTGTATCTTCCTTCTGTCTTTCATGACAGATACTTGGTATCATAGCAATGTTACCCTACGCCTGTCTGCTGAGAGTCCTAATCAGATAAATAGGGCTAATAACAGGTTGCATTTCAAGGAATCGTTGCACCAAGCATCAGTGAAAACATGATCATGTTCCTAATACATATACAGCTTTAATTTTTGAGATATCTATGTAAATTTTGCATTCTGTTCTAATACTGTTTTGACTGTGACTGTCTGCTTTTCTGTCAGACGTATAAGCCAGCTACAAAACCTAATTTAATTTCCTTTTTAAACGCTGATGAGGAAATCCTTCCTAAAGAGTGCCCTAGAGGTTCAAACTCATTGCATCATCCATCCCTTGTAAGTATGGATGAAACAGAGATTAATTAAAGGGAAATTGATCATGGATAAGCTTCAACAGCTGATCAGGATTTAATGTTTATGATCCACTAGACCAAAGTAATTCTGTGGCTTATTGCAACTCTCTGCACATTGACTGCACCATCACACCCATATAATTAAAAAATACCTTGTGCAAGTCACTTTAACATGCATACTTAAACCCCTGTTGCCGAATACAGGCAGACACACCACAGTAAGACAAATCTGGAACAAGATCCCATCCAAAAACTTTGTTTTCAGATAATATCAGAATGTTGAAGGTAGTTCTTCCATCACTTTCAATACACCATAGTAGATGCAAAAAGATTGGTGTATTTGTCTGGTTCCATTTTTGGGAGGTGGGATGACACAGACAGTGTCAGTATTGAGTTAGATATCATGGTGTCAGTGGTGACTGTTAAAAATTCCACATAGAAAGGCAAAATATAATTTTTTTTAAAGCAACTTGCTTTGCATTTTAATTGTTATCCTAATATGTGCTAAATAGAGATGGGCATGAACCTTGGTTCAGACGTTCATGCTAGTTTATTTTATTATTTAAGTATTTATTTAAGGACAGGGTAGGGAATACAAAAAGTAAGTGGGAAGAGGGAAGACGGGGAAAAAGGTTAGGGGGATAGAAGAACACAGAGTATACCATCATCCAATCAATCCATATTACAATAACAGATCAACTTTTTGCTTTTTCAGTTTGATTACCCTCCTGCTTTCATCTTATCATTTAATTTTAGTTTAATTCTATGTTACTCCAACACTATCTGGTAACTGCAGCCATTTATACAATACATCCCATTGTTCAGTTTCCTTTTGAATTGAACAGTCTTTCAGCCCATCTGACAGAATATCCATTTTTGTCACTTCCCATATTTTCACAATAAGATTCTCTTGTTTCAGTATCTCTGCTTCCTTGAGATTTTTCACATAATGCTTTTTAATTTTGGAAGCTGCATAGGTCACTGGATAACTCTCTATCCCATCTATGTTACCTGGTGTC